ATATGTGTGCACTGCAACGGAGAGTTGACAGACTCCCTTTTAGTCGATCATTAGTGAAAGATAGAATGATTGACATGCATAAATATGAAATGTACGCACGTAGGAAGATGATTCATAAATATGAATGATAAATCTTTGCATTGTGGAGCGCGCGATCGAACCAACAAAGGATGAATGCTTTTTGTTGTTGTTGCTGGTGAAGAGGAAATTGCGCATTTGTGTTGAAAGATGGATGAAAAACTGCAACACAAAACTCTACAAATGTAAATAAATCATATGATTATAGCACACTCTCTTTTCTCATTTGGCTGGTATTCTTCACTCGTTGCAACGCAACAATCCACATACAAAAGATGAAAAAAACACAAACTGCGTTTTACTTTATGCTTTTATTATTAAAATGTCATTTTGGCACTTCTTGTATTTTATATTAAGACGAGAAAAAAAAATCGTCTATGGTGTGCGGCATAATTTAAAAGGAAACAACACTTAATCATATGCATTAAGAATGAAAAGAAGCAGGTAACAATCGCTCACACATCACAAGCTATTTTTCCCCATTTGGCAGCTATAAGAAAAAATAATATAATAAGAAGAAGAAGAACGAGTGAAAAAATAGTCTTTTTGCTCATGTATCCATAATGGTAGTAATTTAAAATGCGTTAAAAGAATGTGTGCGCGCGCGCGCACACACAACTTCAATTCCATATGCATGGAAAAAGAGCGCAACAAATGAACAGAGCAGAGTGAAAAAAAGCACATACTGAACACAATTCATTCGAATATATATGAACACATCAAGTGGTTTTTTTCACCTCTTGTTAGTAGTATTACAAAGAGGAGAGCGAGAGAGAGAGAGAAAAAAATTGTGTATAATTTTGCAGCGTGTACGAAGTCCTTGAAAGCATTTGTGATTTTTGTATCTCGCCCGTGTGCACAAAATTTGTTGTCTTCAGTTTTGGCCGAAAATTGTGTGCCGGCACTACTTATTCCGTCTTGGAAAATTCGAAGTTCGATCGCAAAAGAACAAGATATTATTCGAAAAAGATCACAAATAAAATATAGGAATAGAAAATTTAGTGCCCCCTTGATTCAGTTTGCTCAATGTATTTGATCAATGTGTACGTCTTTTGATGTACGTTGTTTTTTTTTCGACCAGCTAAAATATATATGTATACGTATTCCCAACGAACAATGTTTTATAATTATTTAATCATTAAATAGGCACTGTGCGCATATACGTATTGTTTGTTCATTTCAAGTTTACATTTTAATGCAAAAGCCATAGTTGGCGCATTTGATCGAATGTATCGAATAGATCGGGCAAGAGATATTGAGCGTGCGCAGAGCTAAAGGAAACAGTGTGTTTTGTCGAACAAAATGCCTTTTAAACGTTACGGCATTGACCATGATCGACACAGCATTGACTTAAATTGACCGCTTTATTCAAATGCTATCGCTCTCTTTTTTTTTCGGTGGCGATCATTCGTTCCAAAATTTGAAAACCACAAAAAAACATTGGTCAATGAACCACAATGCAATGAAAAAAGTCATGGTGATTTCAGAAAAATAAGCTTTTGCACCACTTTCAGCCCGCCAAAAAAAATTTTTACTCAGAAGTATGTGTCGTGATTGTGGTTTTTATGACACCACCAAATGCAATTCTTGATGCTCTGACGGAATGTACATTTATTATTTCTCTTTCTCTATCGATCGATCTTCTTTAGTCTGAAATGTTGTGCAACGATTTGTCAAACGAACGATTCTCATTGTTGATTTGAACAAAAGTCGGCAATAGGGTGGTTCGATTTTTGCGAAAATTCAGAAAGGATACTGGCTATAGTTATAACTTATGAAAAAATATGTAAGATTTACGAATATGACGTTTTTTTGACATAATTGATGTCACAGACCTAGCGCTTCGAGGGGTCCATTTTTTACATCCTCAAAAGGTTACAGAGTGAGTCGGACAATTTCAGTAATATCAGACCACCTCAATAATGAGTTAAAATTTTGTTTTGTTGGTTCATTTTTTTGAAAAATGTTCAGTCATGTTGGGACCCTATTTGCAGGTAGAGGTAAGTCCGGGAGCTCTTTAATGGCCTTTGGCGATCTGTTTCACATCTGTTAATTAGCAGCGTTACGAACCAGAAAAAATGTTTTTAACATGTGTTGAAAATTTTGAAAAAATTGAAATTTTTGGTCAAATTTCAAAAAATGGACCCCTCGAGGCGCTGGGTCTGTGACATCAATTATGTCAAAAAAACGTCATATTCGTAAATCTTACATATTTTTCCATAACTTATAACTATAGCCAGTATCCCTTCTGAATTTTCATAAAAATCGAACCACCCTAGTCGGCAAATAATAAGCATAATCATTATTATATTTTTCATATTCTCTCGCATTTAATGCATAAAGTAAACTACCTAGTCCAGTAGTATTTATCAATATATAAAACTCCTTATTACATTCGATTAGTTAAATGACGTGTTATAACTAATAATTTAGTTTAATGGACGTATGAAGATTTAGCGAGAATATAAAAAAAATAACTTGACTGTTTTCACACGCAATCCCAGAACCCCGACGACAAATCAACTTGGAGACAAGATACATACACTTGAAAACAATCGCTCATGTTTACGACTTAAATACGAAATTAAAGCGAATTCAAAGTGGATTGAAACAAAGTAACCGGTCTGATTTTGATTGACAAAACACAGCAATATAGCGATATTAATTCAAAAAAAAAAAAAAAAAAAAAAAAAAAACAGAAAAGAACTCCAACGTTGATTTGCAGCAAAAGAAAAAGCGAAATTTGAAGAAAAAAAATGAATGGAATTGTTGAACAAGTTTCAAATGCTTCCGATTCGTCGAATGTCCAAGACCTAGAAAATCGTTTGCAAGCATTGAACATGTTACAACTCGAATATCTAATCGTTGAAATGGATTTTCATCGTCAGTTTTATGCGCTGGATATGGATTATCAGAAAAAGCGTCAGGAAATTTGTAAGCGTCGTAAAGATATTGTAAACGGAAACGGTGACTGTTCGACACAAGTGAGCGATGTCGTCGACATGGCGGCCACATTGAAAAAACTGCAATTGAACGAAAAGCATACTGCAGCAAATGGTCATGGAATTCCAAATTTTTGGTTACAAGCATTTAAAAATTGCACACATGATCTGATTCGTGGTTGCGATGAAAAGGCATTCACCTATTTAGACGATGTCAGCGTGAAACTCATAAACGAACCGGAATTTGCATTTACATTGGAATTTGAATTTGCATCGAATCCATTTTTTGACAATACCGTTTTAACCAAACATTACATAATGAGCTGTGACAGTGACGGTTTTTCCGTGATCAAAACGCTGGGATGTGAGATCAATTGGAAAGATGACATGAAAATCGAAGGGGATACATTTTTTCAATTCTTCAATCCGCCCCGGCTTGTGAAAGGTCCGAAAGAATTTGAATTGGAAATTTTGTCAAAACTTCAACAAGATTTCGAAATCGGGCTATACATCAAAGGAAAATTGATTCCAAACGCGTATTTTTATTATCTCAATGAAGCTGATGAGATGATGAACGCTTTTGGTGACACCACCGAAACCATTGTTTCCACATTCGAATCTTGAATCGTCGAGAATCAAAAAAAAATCCATTAAAAATAAAAATCCAAATATTGAACCAAACATGATGTTATTGTAATTGCTTTTTGGTTGTAATCTGATTCTAAAACGATTCATTTCCATTGTGGCAGCTTGGTTAGAATAATTTACAAAACAATCAATCTCATGATCTGTGAGAGTCCGGATGTGTACGGTGTGCTTAAATTTCAATAGGTCGAGTAATTAATTCACCATAAGTGCGTTGCTTTTTATTTCGTGTAATAAATTGATTTCAGTTTTGTTCGTACCGCACACACCATCCGATGATGGTAATCCAAATCGAGGAACAATGTCGCACATTGATTCCGTGAAAAGTTTGCGCGAGAGAGAGAGAGAGAGAGAGAGAGAGAGAGAGAGAGAGAAAAAGAGCAAAGTGTAACAATAAAATATATATAGTGTCTGCCCAAAATTCAACCGAACTCCGGTACTTTTGCGGTAGTTGAACAAAAAAAAGTCTTTTCGGCAATTTTTTTTTTGTTTCTCTATGAATATTAGTCTATAACACGTAGACATATATTTGCGCGCGAGTGAGCGCACACCGCACACATTCGCCTCTCTTGGCGTTGGAATAATGAGTAATGTATAGTTTTTCGTTAAGTAAAACATTTTGTTTATGAATTATGAATGCTGGCATATGACAAAGATGGATTACTTTTTTTTTCATTGTGATTTATTCACACACATACACTAGAACGTACGGCTCGCGGTTACTCATTAATTCCGATTTTAAAACACACACACATTCAAGTACACAATGTACTTTGCTTGAGCGTGCGAGCGAGTGACCGAACGATAGAAAGAGAAAATTAGAAGAAGAGGAAAACAATACATGTACAGACATCAGTGTATATTTGGCGCATAGAAACGCACCTTTGGCTTTGTTGGTCATTTTTCCGTTGTACATTTTCAAAGCGATTTTCTTTTCACTGTGTGTGCGCATAGGCGCGCCAAATTAATACACACAATTGGCAACCATGACCCAGGCTGCTTTTGAATGAATCGAATTAACCAACATCAGTCTATATGATGTGTGCTGATGTGTTTTTTTTTCTTCTTTTTTTATGTCTTGAGCGTAATCATCACATTATGAGTAAGAGCGATTGGGCCATTTGGCGTTTACCTTTTCGTTTCCAATGCCGTTTAATTGGAAGAAATTAAGATAAATGCAAATGTCGCATATCGTTCATCTATCTTAATTAACATAGTGCAGTTCAATTTATTGAAATTACACCAAGGAATTATCGAAACTATTGCGCAACTTTTTTTTCGTTTTGTTTTATTTGAAAATGTCTAATATGTTTTATTCTTGATTCAAATCTATAGTCGCGTTTGCGAGCAATGGAGCAACGTGGTTTGGACATTTTACCTTTTTTGCCTGGAATGGGCGTCGGTATGAACGTTACTGACATGGGATCGTATTCACATTATCCATCACACTATCCTTATCAGGTGAGACACTTTTAAAAAAAATTGAAATCGTCTTCAAATACTAATCGCAAAATGTGAAATATCTAGGGTGCCAGTTCATTGCCACAACATGATCAATATGGTGGTCATCAACACATGGCCGTGCACAATGTATCAACTGGTGATATGGGAGCAAATCAACCAATTTCATCAATTGGCCCATTGTCAACACAACGTCAACATTATGCAACACCAAATTTGGGATCAGCCGTTTCATCGAGTATGCATCTCACCAATTCCAGCCATGATAGTGACGTACTTGGTGCTACAAGCAACTATAAAACTGAACACGACATGATGTACTATTCGGTAAATATAAATCGTTCACTTCTTATCAATTCAAATGAAAAAAAGAAGAAATGAACTAACTATGATTACGTTTTTCTTTGAATTTGCAATCTAGAATACATCATCTGAATTGAATCACACCACAGACGGTTTTATCAATTCCATGTTGGGCTATGATGATGAATTGCTTTTGAACGCCAGTTTGGATATGGGACCCGTCACCGACGGTATGTACAATTCATTTTATTCATTAGTTCAAATAGGATCATCATAAATCTTTGAAATTAGCATCTATTTTTTTCTTTTCTCTTCGCGATAAACGCAATTAAAATTCTCATTTGAAATCATTTGAAGATTTGATAAATATTAGATACAATTTAAGTCTGAAACACTGTTGTTACACTCGCTGACATCTGTAGCATTTTTTTTGAAACTTTTAAGCTTTGACAACAACCAAATATCGATAGTGCTTACAGTATGCAACGGATACGCCATCTGTCGGATCAAATAAGCAACTATTTTGAGCTTTAACGCGGTCGGTCTTTCCAAATGAATGTATACGTAGAGAAGCTGTTGTAATCATGTTTGTTTAAATTGAATGTAAAAGACGTTATCGCATGCTTTGATCCAACACGACACATTGTATTAAGCAAATATGTAATGCGTCATTGACAAAATTCACCAAAGTAAATTCGAAAAGAAAAATATCTCACGTTATCTATGCCTGATTTAGATTGAGAGTTTCATGTACAATCATTCATTGATAATGAAAATGATTCGTTAGCGATTTAATTGAAACAGCGAACATTGAGATTCCCGGAGAGTGTTTGGTATGAAATGACTTATGTTCATATTTTTATGCGCACGTTTAATGTCAACCACATTTTATGCATAACATTAACGATGCCGTCGGTCCGAAACGATCATCTCGCTGTCTTCGTTTTTCATTCGTATTTATCTTCTGCTTTGTCATCGTCGCCGTTAGCGATTGATTATTTCATTAATACAGTCATTGTATTTCTGATTTCGAAGAAATAATTTTTTTACGACGAAATTGACAAAACTATACCGCACACAAACCACCAAACACAATTGAAATAATATACAATATGTGTGTGTGCAGTTGAGGTAGTTAGTAATATTCTATATTTATTGGTGATGATCTGAACAAGTAGTTATCGTTTCAAATCGTCTTATTCAAACACAAATGAAAATATACAATGTAGCAAAAAGCGACGCAATGAGTTCAAAATAAAACGAAAAAAAATATATTTAGTCTACCGACAATGCCGACAACAACAACATAAACAAGAGCAACGAAACAATGAACATTCGTGCGACCAACACTCGCATTCGACACATACTGTATAGCAAGCAAGAGAGACAATCAACCTAAACAACAACCAAACCGATGGGCTGCGATTACACCCAGCGTGTAATTCTCTCTTTTTCTCACTTTCGTTTGTTCACATTAGTGCCATCTCGATTGTAATTGACTTGTTGAATTTGGAATAAACATGTTCGAATGAAACGAACAATAAAACTGAACTCAGTTGAATTTAACGAGTCTAACGAATAAGTACAATGTCGGAACGGTTTTTGTAATATATTTTTTTTTCGTTCGTGATTCCAATCATAGTCAGATCCTTTGACAGATACACGGAAAGTGCGACATCAGGACTGTGTGTTTGTGTGCGTTAGAAAGAAAGAGAGCAATGTAAAAAAATATAATTTCAATAACGACGACTACGACGACATGCCATTCGAAATGATATTTACTTGAACAATAGAAAATGTCACATGCGCACACCGATCATATTGTTTTCGATCATTCGCGTCTTCCGTCGCTCCATTTCCATCCAACGTAATCGAGTTAACTGAGTGACTCCATGCCGTTCTTTCTCTCTTTTGCTGCATGCAGCGTAAATGTGATTGGATTGAATGGGCAGATTTCACCACACATGACAATGAATACGGCTTCTTCTTTAGTGTTTTTTTGTTTCGTTTCACGGTTACGTTTCGCACAATATGATTTTCGTTGAACAACAACACTTAACAATATTGATGAACGAATCGTGTTAAATCGTCAATCACTTGACGCACAAGAGATTCCGCAGCAAGACACACAACCCGATAGTTTTCGGATCGGTATATGTGTATGTATACTCCACATTGTGGACTCATCATTCATGCGACGTGATTGTATTCCATTCCAAATCGAAACCGATTCATTTCAATATCGCACGCGCAACGATTACAAACAGAGATAAACCGGAGGAGAATGGAACGAATGAAGAGACTTACGAGCGCACAAAAATAACACACAACAACAATTTTATTTTTTTGAATGTTGTTTTAAATCGCTCGCATTCAGTTTTTAAGTATATAAAATGTAAAGTTTTCGTAAAGTTTTCGATTAATTTCGTCAACTGTCGCGTAAAAGTGAACGAAAAATGTTGTTGTAAAATTTCAAGTGTCCGATGTATGCACAAGTGTTTTTGCAATAAATGCCCAAAAGTGTAAAACAGAGCCACATTAGAGTAATGAAATAAAAAAATTCTCAACCACACAGACACACACACGGAGTGTGTGGAGTAGCAACAGCAACAACAATTAGAATATTTAAAAAAAAAATCAACAAGAACTTGATATTAAAACCTTAACTGATGACTCAGCAAAATGTGTGAAACACTAAAAGGGAATTTGCACAAATGACAACGATTTGAATTGAAAACTAAGAAGCAGAGAGTAACAAAAAATTCAAATCAGCAACTCATGTTAGTTGAATTGAATGTGTTTATGCACTCTGTCTCTCTATCTCACTCTGTGTGTGTCCCTCCCTCAATCGGGCACAGTTTTAATTTTGCGACTTAATGCGTCGTTTGTGTGTATGATGCTTTTGTTTCAAACAGTAGATAAACAACAAAAGCGTTGTTTCGGTGATTGAGCCCGGTATACTAAAATGATGGTGTGCATGTTCAATCGAGTGTTCCAAATGAAATCACTCACACTCATTATTTTAAACGTTTTGCTGTTCGTTTTTTTTCCTCTCCTCTTCTTCACCATCTCTCTATGTCATCTTTTCTCCCCATCATTCGTGATCATTGTCAATCATGTGTGTCGTACCGAGTGAATGCAGTTTTTAACGGGAGAATTCCAATATATTAATCAAATAGCAGTATTATTATTATTTTTTATTTTTCCAAATAAACAGTGTGTGTTATATAAAGCGGGTGAATATTTGATTGTGTGTTGACAAGTTAGATTGTAAAAAAAGAGAAAAACATAAGAAAATATGCGCAGTCGCGCAAACATTGTATTTTACAATATTGTTGGAACAAATAACTGATTAAACGGTAAAGGTGCGACAAAGTCTTCGAATTAGCTTGTGTTCTGCTCATGGCGTTCTCGGTTCTTTTTTTTTTTTTTTTTTTTTGAAATCAAAATATTTCTCGATCGATGATGGTTCAATAAGTTTTTTCGATTAGTGATTTATGGACGATGCGATTTCGAAAATAAGTACATGTTCATATAGTTTGAATAACACCTTGAATACAAAGTAAATTTTCTACGTTTCTTTGCCGAAACTTACAATCAAATTGATTGAGGTGCCACGTCTTGTGCGCTCGCATTGTTATCGTCGGCCGTGGTGTGGCTGTGTTTGTGCGTGTTTGTCTATGTGTTTGATTTACTAATTTAAAATCGACGACACAAAAAAGGAAATCATTAAATGATATATACCCGACAATCGGCGTCATCGAATGAATAGCCGTTTCGTTTATTAAAATTCATTTTAAAATCGAAACAAAATGACCCTATAAACGTGTCTGCAAATATTTCAAATTTGTGAACAGTTTAAGACTCCGGCTTTGCCTGCTTTCTTATTGTATGTTCTCTCTCTCTCGTTCCATCTCTGTCTTGAGCGACAGCTCACGTCTTCTTTCCTCTTTAAGAAAAAAATGTACGTATGCAGTTTTGCGATGTTGTTGTGATTCCAAAAATACACACATTTTATTACTCATGCTTCATCACCATATAGTCCGAATCATTTTTCTAGTAGTTGCTGTTGTTGAGAATGAGACGAGCAACGCAAAAAACCAAACAAACAATCAACTCACAACATTTTTTTGTCGGTTGTATGATGGTGCAAAAGCATCAGAATTTTCATAGCTCAACTGTTGTAATTGAACACTCAATGAATGACACAACGTGCACAACAACAAAAACGAGGAAAAAAAAACACAACCAAAACACACATATATTCATTCGTCATGTATGAAAACTGAATTGTATAGTGAAATTTCAAACGAATGAATTTGACTATTAAAATGAAACCAAACATTAAACGCTTTGCGCATTGTTGCTGAAAGTTATTTACTATTTTTAAATGCTTAGTCATGCCGTCGTGCGCGCATTGAATGTCTCATGATACACATTCTGCAATTGGTTTGCCTGTTATTCATATATGCAACAATCATTTTTTTTTACAATGCAGTCGGTGTGTGTGTGACTTTTGTGTTTAAATTGAAAAATGAACAGACGACAGAGATAGAGTATTTGAAAAAAAACCAGCGTTCGTCGTATATTGTTACAACTTTTGCATGCGATGCACTAATTAACTGCAAAAGCGATTTATAACTGAATGCATTCATCAGAAAAATGTGGCTATGTACAGAAGGAAACAGGGAGAGAGAATAAAAAAAACCATCATTTATAATTTATTGCCGCTCATTTGTCACCTTTTATTGATGTATCATACACATGATCATCAAATTTCGGAATGTTGACATTTTTTTTTCTTTTCACCAATTTATTTATGCGAATCAAGAAATTTCCGGAAAAAATAGAGCAAATAAAATTTCACAAACTTTGTCAAGGCAACGCAAACGCTTTTAAAAAAGTAACAATGAAATCGTACTTAGAGCAAATAGTGATGACAATTGAACAACTTGTTAAAATATCACCACACTTCAGGTATATATTTGCATTTTCAATTTTCGACATAGTGACTCGCAGACCATTTTGAAATGAATTTTTATATTAAAAATTCACGTTTTGTCAAATCATTTAGATGTATCCATTTGCGGAAAAAAGAAGAAGGAGCTGATAACCTTGACATTCGAAATAACGATAATATCACCATATAATCAATTCGATCCAAAAATCGTCTACGATTATTTCAATTATAAACATTTTTCGATTTTCGCACTGAATAAAGTGTATATAA